TTGGACACAATATCTTTACTTTATTTATTTATTTTTATGTGGTGCTAAGCATTGAACCCAGAGCATCACACGTGCTAGGCAAGTGCTCTACCTCTGAGCCACAACCCCAGCCCCAGATACTGGCATATTAATTGGTATATTTGTAACCCAGGGAACAAGGAAGCATTAAAAAAAGGATCCTTATAGTGGATCTTATTTATTTTTTCACACAATTAAATCAATGAAATCTAATCTTCAAAATTTTGTAATTTGCCAGATCAAAAATTACTAGGTAAATAGACTTCTGCTAAATATAATTTAGCAGAAATTAAATTTAATTTAAATTAAATTTAAATTCCCAAAGTAACAGGATATTTATTTTATTTTATTTTTTAGTTGTAGATAGACACAATATCTTTATTTTATTTATTTATTTTTATGTGGTGCTGAGGGTCATGCGTGTGAGGCAAGCGCTCTACCACTGAGCTACAACCCCAGCCCCATAACAGGGTATTTTAATATATAAAACAGAGATGTTTTCTATCTAAAAAACCCATAGCATTTCTAGCTATTTAAGGAATATCACTTTTAAGTGACAATACTTCCAATGAATATATAAAACACAAACGTAAAATGGATCCCCTATAAAATCTATGTTTAACTCTTGTTTTTTCAGCTGTTTATCTCTACATCATTACCTCTTTTCTGAAAAACTTCACAGAGCTATAAGAAGGCAATGTTGGGGGCTGGGATTGTGGCTCAGTGGTAGAGCGCTTGCCTAGCATACATGAGATGCTGGGTTCGATCCCCAGCACCACATAAAAACAAAATAAAGGTATTGTGTCCATTTATAACTAAAAAATATTTAAAAAAAAAAAAAAAGAAGGCAATGTTGGATTTACAATTATACATAATAGGATTAGGAAGAATTTCTATTCAGGAAGTAATTTTCTTGGAAAAGAAAATACTTACTAGAATTTCAAGATCGTCTACTAGGGCTGAGGTATTTCTCGGTTATAGAGCACTTGCCTAGCATACATTAAAGCTCTGGGTTTAATCCCCATGACCCACACACAAAAAAAGATAGTCTAGTAAATGGAAATATTCCTGCTTAATAATGTCTTTTTTTTTCTTGGCTGTTATTACTAAAAATGTGTGAGGAAAATGTTTTTTTTTTTTGTTTTTTAAAGGACTTGAAAGTGATAAATAGTATCTTTGTTTCTAGACCAAAAAGATTTGTATATATAGTCACTTTCTACGGAATGAAAAAAATAATCTTGAACAATAATGTCAATAATTTAGCTTCTGAATCTAAAGATGATGCTGTTGATACACATATTATTTCTATTGACATATGCCAAACCCATTTATAACACCTACCTATTTAAAAACTTAGCAACAAAAAGCAGATAAAGCTAAACTTACAGATTATACACTGTTTTTTTTTTCTTTTCATTTTTAATGTTAAAAGCAGAATGGGGGCTGGAGGTATAGCTCAACAGTAGATTGCTTGCCTAGTGTGCCTAAGGCCCTAGGTTCAATTCCCAGCATGAGAGAGAGAGAGAGAGAGAGAGAGAGAGAGAGAGAGAGAGAGAGAGGGGCTAATCTTAAGGGATAATATGACATTAATAAACATTAGAGAAAAAAAATGACTGACTTGAAAAGTTTTTTTTGTTGTTGTTGTTGTTTTTGTGTGAACATGTATAAGTTGGGTTTTATAAAACACAAAACTCCCTGATTCTTCCCACATAATTGACAACCATCATTTATTGTTACTGGCTGTTTTTCTTTTCCTCTTAAAATAACTTAGGGATGAAATGAATATTTTCTAATTTAGGAAATGACAACTATTCTAATCATTGCTTTAATACCAGGCTTATGATATAAAAGTTATACCTTTAAACTATAAAATAAAACATAAAATGAGAGTCTACAAAAATCCAAAAGAACTCAAAGTTATATCAAATGGTCATAATTTTCTCTTTCTAAAACACTGCCAAATGAACTCTGTAGAATATGTACTCTTCACAGTTCAAATGTAATACCTTATCACACACTGACTCTATCACATACTACAAGCTGTAGGCAAAGTTTAGGTGCCAAAAATGTAAGTCCTATCTCATGTCAAAAAGATATCTAGATTCACTAATTACAGGGTTAGAAAAACTACTCAGGTTTGACCACTTCATAAGTCACTAAATAACCTTTCAGTTTTCATTAAATAGCAAATGCAAAGTGGGGTCTCCTGAAGAGACCCTACAAAGAGGTTATTCAAATGACAGAAGAGACCCAAAACAGAAGCATAAAAGGACAAGGTTATCTGATGAAGCACCATCTGTCAGAGGGAATGCTCAGTAACATCGGAATGAGACACATTTGGGGAACCTATCATCACAGAAACTTATGAGCCTGAACTCCACTTTTTATTCACTCATTTATTTACTTTTTTCAGTGCTGGAGATTGAACCCAGGGCCTTACACATGCTAAACAAATGCTCTACCACTGAGCTACATCTCCAGCCCCCTAAATTCGATTTTTTAATGTTGTCATTAGGCAAAAAAATAATTACATAATAAACATTAGATAAATATTTATTGAATAATAATTTATTTTTTGTCCTTTCAATCTACTTACAGGGCATATTATAACTATTATCATTTGGTTGACTGATAAACAGTCATAAAAATACATTTCCATACAATAATGTTACTGGTATTATGTATGATATTCTTCAGGCTAAAGTGTTAAGAATCAGCTCCTCTTGAGATCAAGAAACTGAAGTAGAAGTTGGGCATGGTGGTGTACTCAGGAGGCTAAGGTAGGGATGATCTCAAGTGGTTCAAGGACAGCCTTGCAACTTAGTGAGATCCTGTCTCAACTAAAATAAAATAAAAAGGTCTGGGGATGCAGCTCAGTGGAAGAGCACCCATGAGTTCAATCTCTAGTATCTCAAAGAAGAAAAGAAGAAACAAGTAGAATAGACAGCTGGATTTTTGGAGAGGAAAGCACATTCCATGGCAAAAAGCTGCTCCGGAAATACCAGCTTACTTTCAGATACACAGAGCAAATAATAACCAAAACTGGTTTTCTGTGGACTATATACATCCCTTAGAAGCTAAATATGACTTAGAGACATTTGCTTTCTTTTTATTTAATGGTCAGTGTCTTTATTTTGTGGCACAGAATGATTACTAACTCTGGGTTATAGAGAGCACCAGGCATCATTATTCTTTTTGTGCCTAGTTACCCAAAGTAGAGTCCCAAACCAATAGAATTGGCATCACCCAGGAATTAGTTAGAAGTGCAGAATCACAAATCCTACCCCAGACCTACTCAACACGCAGCTATAATTTAACAAGACTCCCAGGAGGTTGAGAAGCACTGCTCTAATGGACAGAACATTTGAGCAAATCAGAAGACCCAAGTTCAAGCCTCAGATCCATGATTTAGCAGGGTTCAAAAATGGACAAGGGCAAGAAAGTATTTTGGGTTTTGGGGGCGGTTTTTAAATTTTTTTTAACTGAGTTTCCTCAACTATAAACTAGGATTTTATTTATATATACATGTACCAAACAGGTGGTTTCAAGGATCAAATAAAATGATGGATGTTCTTTGTAAATTATCAAGCACTATAAAAACACAAGACCCTACTGCTAATTACAAATACAGCTTAATTACACCTGTCCTCATTTGATCTCTCATAAACCATCAGAGACATATAATTAAATCATACTATATCATTACGATAAAAGGCTTCTTCATGTGACACAAACCTTTCAAGCCCTAACCATAAGGTTGCTAAATCTCTGTTTTTATCAAAGCTAATTTCAAGTGGGCCTCCTAGAGGGAGACTCTTATCTGTTAACACTGATATTATCTTGCCCTAAACATCTGATTTGCCCTTTGGGGGCTTTACTATAATTTCCAAGACAACAAATGAACTAGTTTAAGCCACTACCAAGCCTGAAAACTGAATTCCTTGAAAAGGCTGCTTTTTGCTAGAGTCCTTGGCTTTTTTGGCCCATTAAACAATAGCCCCATTTTCTTCAAAGCACAGAACATGGCTACATAAGGGTGTTAAGCGAAGAAGCCAATGCTCTAGCTTTCTCCCTAATGCTCCTTACCATAAGGAAAGACCCGTGAATCTTAAAAAATGAGAATTTCCTAATCTGCATCCACAGGTTAGTTAACACTTTTTTCTTGCACATCAAATGAATGTCAAGGAGCTTCTTATAACCAGAGCTTTGTTATTCAAATTTGGTTGCCTTTAAAAATGAAAATCTACTAATAGATCAATTTATTCATGAGTTAGTTACTATCAAACCTTGGAAATCAATTTGCATAATAAAATGCTAAAGCCATTAGCATTAGAGCTGGTACCTTCAACTGGCTTTCCAGCTGTGCACCCAAATCCTTTCCAAAGACTGCAACTTCCCTCTCCTGTCTGAGGTGGGTCTGCAGCCCCTGTTCCCACTCATGCCACTGAGAATCTTATTGAGAATTCAGACTCCATGCAGGGGAACAGAAAAGGATTAACACATGCAACTGTGCAGCATCACTTTTAGACACAGTTTAACTTAAAAAGAAAAAAAAAAGATCTGCCCAGCACAAGAACAATCCCCAAGTCAGCCCAAGAGCAGAGAATTAGTACTATCAGGTGATCAGAAACAAAACCAAGGCAAAATCCCACCAAATTCAATATTCAGAGTAATTATTAAAAGGATCACTATTGATTCAAAAATCACTACCCAAAAGGCAAAGGTACCAGAAAAATTCTCATTATTTGAGACTGTGATAGAAGTAAAGACTTGACTTTAAGACATAAAAGGCACAAAATAGTACCTCTATGAAACAGTTGTTCAGGCTAAAGTTGCCAGGAGATTTAAGTTAGTCCTCCATTAAGAAAATGAAAGAAGAGTGTGTGACACAATGAGAGCCACAAAAGCTCCTCAGTGGGCACAGGGAAGGTGTGGAACAGCTACCCTTTCCTAATGCTAGCAGATTCAGGACAGATTCCTACCAGTCTTTGCTGCTCCAAGAGAAGATCTGCTTCTTCCTTTTCCTTTTTGTACAGGATCTCCATCTCTTGTAACCTAAAAGGAAAAAATAAAAGTATATAACAAGAAAGAATAAATTATGAAATCACTGAGTGGCTTCACAAATGTATTATTGTTGAAGAGAAAGTCATGTGGGCCATATATTTGTGGATTACCTTTTCTCCATCTCCTGTTTCATATCAATTCCTTGTTTCTCCAGAAGCTCTCTCTGGGCAAAAGTCCAGTCCACAGGCTCAGACGGGGTCTCAGCTGAGGGAGTCTTCTCCCGCTCAGCCCGTGCTTGTTCCGGATGATTAAAACGAAAAACGTGGTTTTTACCCATGATGATGCGGTTTCCTAGCACAAAACAGAAATAGGGTTAAGAAATCATTTTTAAATTTTTTAAAATTTTACTTTCATTTTTTAAAGAAATAATTTTTAAAATGTGTAGTTTCTAGTTTAATAACCTCACTCCCTTAAAGCTTCTGACATTTTACAAGAACATAATTCTAGTGCCAACAATAATAGAGTCAAAAGTGAGAGTAGCAGGCTGGGGATGTGGCTCAGTAGTGGAGAGCTTGCCTAGCACGCATGAGGCTCTCTGGGTTCAATCCTCAACACCATAAAAAATAAAAATTACAAAGAAAAAGAAAAATCTGAGAGTTGCTCACACAAGCCATCTGCACACTGCTGAAGACTTCAAACCTCTCCCAGTCTCACCTGAGCGCAACTGAACAGGCTGGGTCACCCTCTTGCCATTCACGTAGGTTTCTGAGCGCTCACAGGGCTCCAGGGTTACAATAACTAGGAGGAACACAAACTGATGTTATCACCACAAACCAATGTAATTACTAATGGAAAACAATTGACCATCAGGACTTATGGTAATTAGAATAGACTCCTACAACCAATCAAGTGGCTAAAGCATCTATAAGGTACTTCTTTTTGGGTATATTTAGTTGTAACACTAGAAGTTGTTTGGAGCTAAGACAGAAGTATTAAACTAAATTTTATCAACCTCTGAAGAAGATAGGAAATATTAGTTTCAACAATATTCTGACAGTTCAGTCAATAAAACAAAAACCAGTAGAAATGTTAAGTTTGAGATGTAGGTAATAACCAGAAACTCAAGATTAAAAGCTAATATTTCAGTTAAGGGAAGAAGCCAGAATACCAACACAAAAACACCATTAGATTATTGCTGTTTTGTTAATAGCCCAGGCAAAAATCAGATCAACTTTTTCTCCCCTATGGATAGATGGATGAATGGATGGATGGAAGAAAGAGAGAGAAAGAAAAAAGAAAAGAAAATCTACTCAGCTAAGACTTGAAGTTCTTCAAATCTCCTATTATCCTGGATATTTACTCTTCTCTTACTTTTCTATTAAATAATTAACATTCAAGACCAAGCCTAACTGCTTATGTCCTGCTCAGTTCTTGGCAGTAACAAAAGGGCTCCTTTGTCCATGCTATTTTCATGTAAAGCAGCTATGTCCTTTCCCGAATTTATAAGCATCCCAGCTTCCTCCATATTTCAGAATAAGATTATATAACAAGTATCACTAACAGAGACAGGGAATACCAAGTCTTAAGGATTTCTCATACTATAGAATAAAAAATTACAGAAGAAACTCAAACCAGGAACTCTCACCTTCACCACTGTTGTTTCTCTCACTCCGGAAGATACAATGCTCCTCTTTAATGTGGGCCCCACTCAGTACTATGTCCTGGCGCCGCTCAGCATCTGCTTGGCCAACCCTGAACACAAGAGAAAGTGTTTCCCAGGGAAATTCAGACACAAAAAGCACTTAGAAACAATGAACTTCTTTCTCCCAAAGAATATACTTTGGAATGTACAAGAAAACCTATTGCTTTTTTTCTTTCCAAAGCTTTCAATTGCAAATTCTAGTCTCCTGTATAATGAACCTCCCTACATGAGAATAAGAAACCAGGGAGAACCATACACCAATATAAATTGTACAGCACAATAAATATATGAGCAAACTAAACTCCCGAATGAATTCATACAAGGTGTTAAAAGGAAAAGTTTCATTTAGGGTCTTCTAGAGAAAAACTGTTAGCTGTTTCCACTTGCATACATCATTTTGAAAGAGTAAAGTTCATAATGGTTTCAGATAGGATAAACAGCAAATCATTTCAAAAATTGTTTTTCAAAGAACAATCACCTAGGGAAAAAAGAAAACATTAAGTGACCAAAATCAGACACCAATATACCTTGTAATTCCATCTTTGATGTAATAAAGCAGGCATTCGGACATTAGTGGGTCTTCATTAAGATTAACAAGATGTGGGGTCTGAAAAAAGATTACAGATTATCAGTTTGGAGAAAGGCACCATAAGAAGGGATATAGTAACAACAGGAGCCCACAGGAGGCCAGGCTTCTCAGATTTCCCCACATAGTCTGAAGAAGATCTTTCATTACTAGTTCTAAAGCTATAATAAAGAGAAAACACTCTCTTCAGGCCTCCCTATACCACACCCATGCATTCTATTACATGAGTTCTGGGATAAAGAACAAGACCCAGTTCTTAGGGTCAAAGCATAGTGAACCCAAAGAAAAAAAATCAAAACAGAATGATTCTCTGGGTGGGTTAATTACAATCTTTGTAACTGCATGGGCAAAAATTGCAAAAGATTTAATTTTTCATTTACTTTTATTCAAATTTACCCCATCCCCTGCCACCTCCTATAATTAACATCAGTTCTTCCATGGTCCCAGTTATTGTCTTTACTTTATTTCTCTTTACCTTAAAAAAACATGTAAAAACTAAAATTTCTAAAATTCAATAATAACACCTTCTAAAAATTCTTTTCAACTAACTCTAATGTTTCTAAAATGTTTTAAAAACCAACCTTCTTTGGTGAAAAGACCCCACTGGAATCCAAAAATATGTCACATGGCCTCGGGGTCAAAATCTACTCAAGAGTGTGCCAGCAAATGCGGAAAAACGAAAAAAGAGTCAGATGACAAGAAAGAAAAGGACTGCCAAAGATGGTTAAAAGGAAACTGGAAAACCTCTCTCCATCTCCACTACCATCCACCTCTGTGCTTAAGAACCCGGCTTGTTTGAGAGAGTCCAAGCCCTCTCTGGGTAGCATTCTTTAAGTCTCCTCTTTGGACTAAGAAAAAGAGATTATCAGAAACAGTTTTAAAATTATGTTTGGAGGGGCTGGGGTTGTGGCTCAGTGGTAGAGCAATTGCCTAGCATATGTGAGGCACTAGGTTCGATTCTCAACACTGCATATAAATAAATGAATAAAATAAAGGTCCATCAACATCTAAAAATTTATTTTTTAAAAAAACTAAATTTGGAGGTGGACAATGGTCTCTCCCTCCCTTTCCTGAGGAAACGAAGAAAGTTAAAGCAAGGTGGGCAAGAAAATGCTTTGGAAGTAGAGATGTCTTTGGAATCTTTTATTGTTTATATCACAATATTTGTTCAAGTTATTGATGATTCACATTAAATATCATAAGTTTTATAAGCTGTTACAAAAAATTTCCCCACAATTTTTTGGGTGATACTGGGAATGAAATCCTCAGCTATGCACCTACTAGGCAAGTGCTCTACCACCAAGCTACAGCCTAGTCCCTCCCCTAAGTTGTTTTTTTTTTTTTAACTTTTATTTATTTATTTGTATTTATTTATTTGTTTGTTTGTTTGTTTTTATGTGGTGTGGAGGATCGAACCCAGTGCCTCAGGCATGCTAGGCAAGCACTTTACCAATGAGCCACAGCCCTGCCCCATATTTTATTTATTTTTATGTGGTGCTGAGAAACAAATCCAGTGCCTCACACACGCTAGGTGAGCACTCTACCACTGAGCCACAACCCCAGCCCCTTTCCCCTCAGTTTTTAACACTACAAGATATTATGAAATACCTTTAGATATATACACAATCTAAATGCTATCAAAACTGTAACTGCTAAAATATCTACCATTATAGGTAATATATCTGAATAAATACATGTGTTACTGAAGGGAAAAGTAATAAAAACACTGATATTTATATAAACATACAAAATACTTATTGCTCTAGTTTTATAATATGTGTGTATATATATATATATTTTGTCCAGTTGTTTATGGACCTTTATTTATTTATATGTGGTACTGAGAATCAAACCCAGTGCCTCACACATGCTAGGCAAGTACTCTAGCACTGAGTCACAACCCCAGCCCCTCTAAATTATCTTTATTTTTTTTAATACTTTTTTAGTTGTTGACAGACCTTTATTTTTATTTTATTTTTATGTGGTGCTGAGAATTGAACCCAGTGCCTCACACATGCTAGGCAAGCCCACTACCACTGAGCCACAAACTCAGCCCTCTAAATTATCTTTAAATCAATCGTTTTTTAATTTTTTTTTTTTTAGTTGTCAATGGACCTTTATTTAATTTATTTATATACAGTGCTGAGAATCAAACACAGGGCCTCACACATGTTGGGCAAGTACTCTACCACTGAGCCACAACCCCTGTCCTAATTCAATCTTTTTTGTTGAAAAATGACACATTGGAATTTGTAAAAATGTTATTTATGTGACCATGATAAAAAAAACCTAACCAGAAGAATCCTCACAAAAATCACAATAATGTCTCCAACTGTGAGACATAAAAGAAAAGTACCGATTCAAAATTCCCTCCTTCTTCTACTCTAACCTAAAGAGATCTCTGTTCCAAAACTATGTGTAAAGATGTCTAAAAGTCTTAATTGGCTAGTTTGAGGTCATTTGAAATGAAGGGCCATTCTTTTTGTATATATATTTAGTTGTATATTGACACAATATCTTTATTTTTATTTATTTATTTTTATGTGGTGCTAAGGATCGAACCCAGTGTCTCATGTGTCGGGCAAGTGCTCTACCACTGACCTACAACCCCAGCACTGAATGGCCATTCTTTAGTGGTATGAAATATATGCTTTGTACATCAATGTAGATGTTCCATCATTGTCACATAAACAAGTACATAAAAGAATCTTATAGTATTGGTTTTCCAGTATTGAACAGTAACTAAGTAGCAACTAATATGAAAAAACAACAAAAAAAAAGACAACTTACAAATCTAATTAGTGAAAGGTATCAAACTATTCTACGACTATGATTATGGAGTTAGGAAAGTAACTACCGAAATCTTAAGAAAATCGAAGGGGAAAAAAGAAAGAAAACAAGGGAGAAAAGGAGTCTCAAAGGATAAGGGCTGGAACTGCTTTACTCAGTATAATGGTTATAAATAATATAAATCACTGGAGCAGTATTTTTCTACACAAACCTGAACAGTTGAAATTGGTTCCAAAAAATTATAGAGCAGAGTTGATGACTTCTGTGGGGGAAACGTACATAGAAAGAGTAGCCAAACTGAAGCACAGCGTGCTAGATTACATTGGAAATTTAAAAGAAAGCAACAATGAAGACAACTATAGACTGAATTGCACAGCCAAAAGGTACAGATTTGTGGCCTCTGAGTGTTTTTGTTTTTGTTTTTGTTTTTTGTAAACAGGATAGGTATTTTGGAAACAGGGTGCCCTTGTCTTTTAATACCATACTATGAAATGAAATCAGAAATTTCTGAAATTATTCCAAATAACAAGATACAAAAGAGGAGGAGTAAAGCCCAGCATTGAAAGACAAAGTAACCACTCACCAATTCAGTGTTTTTCTCTCTCTTTTGGGTACTGGGGTTTGAACCCAGGGGCGCCTCACCACTGAGCCACACCCCCAACCCTGTTTATTTTTTATTTTGAGACAGGGTCTCACTAAATTGCCTAGGGCTTCACTTAGTTGCCGAGGATGGCTTTGAACTTGTGATCCTCCTGCCTCAGCCTTCCAAGCCACTGGGATTATAGGCATACATCACCATTTCTAGCCCTTTCTCTCTCTCTCTTTTTTTTTTTTTTTTTTTTTTGGCAGAGTGAGGCACTGAATCCAGGGCTTTGAGCATCCTAGGCAAGTACTCTCCCACTAAGCTACAATTCCTAACCCCCAAGCAGAATTTATACATTGTTTCCTACCTTTTTAGGTGAGAAAACCCCTAGAGTTCCTCCATCTTCTCGAATGGCAACTCCCATCTCAGCCAACAAGGCCTCTCTGGAAAAAACAAGTTCAAGTAAATTAAATACTTATACCAAAATGTCAATTAAATCAGTCAGATAAAAACGGAAAAATAAAGTTTGATAAAGTATATAAAGCAAAAAACAATTAGTCAAATCTAGAGTTGGTAACGCAAATATGGAATTATGTGCTTATCTCATCAATAATGAAAAATTATTTTTAAGACAAGCAGCCCAAAGTAAATACTCCAGTATAAAAGTTCTAGTCACCCAGATAACTGTCAGCCTGTAGCTCAAGGATGGAATGCTTGCCAAGCATGCACAAGGCCCTGGGTTCAACCTCCAGTATCACAAAAAAATAAAAAATAAAAAACAAAACAAAAAAATCCTTTGCCTCATCTGATTTTGGAGACAGACAGAAATTCATAAACTCAAAGAAACACTTACCCAGAATCTAAGGAAACGACTTGGATATATGGAATATGGTCTATAAATATGATTCTCTCAAATGTTATTTATATACCCATGCCCACCATTCATTTTGATTCAGTAATTCTAGCTTAAAATCTCTAAAACAAATAAGAAAATTCTTATTGTTTGTTACATTTACTATATCAGTACATTAGAACTTGATCCCACCTCATCTTCTTGTGAAGGGGGAAGAAAGAAACTGATATTTTTTAAGTATACGTTTATTCCAATAGCGAAAGTACCATTTTGGCTTATGCTCACCACTTTACAGTAGAAAAGGGATATAGTGAAAGACAGTGGTCAGAATAGCTCTTTGGATTTGGGCCTTTGTCAAAGGTAGTCTACTCTCTGCGAAGAAATACTCTTCCTCAATTTGTTCCATTTTTATGCCACAGCAACAGGTAGTATGGTAACTATTATGCACATGATTCCACTGAAAACCTTTAAATATGTGGACTTCTCTTTAAAGTGTATATCCGACTGGCTGCAAGTCCCAGCCAGATTGATAATTTGTCTTGTGTTTTAGGAGGGGAAGTTCTTCACTGAACTTTTTTCCCCTCCTAGTATTAAGGATTATTTTAGGGGCGCTCTACAACTGAGATACATCCCCAGCTCTTTTTGTATTTTTTATTTTGAAACAGGGTCTAAGTTGCCCAGGCTGGTCTGGAACTTGCAATCCTCCTGTCTTAGCCCCCTTTCAGGTGTGCACCACCATACCAGGCTGTTTTTAACTTCCATTTCATCTTTTTTTACAATAAAAGAAACCAAAATGCCCCAAAAAACTTAGAAACATTCCCAGATTTTAATCTCCTGACCTCTCCATTCTGATGGCCTCTGTTTTGCGAAGCTTCTCCTCCCAGGTTTCATTCAACTCAGCAATGATCTTCTCTGATTCCTAAGAAAGGAAGTACATAGTTAAAGTGGCAGTCTTTCAATTTAATGTACCATGTTCAAGAAGGAAAGCAAAAAAAAGATTGTGCCCTTTGAGGATATGGAGCTGAATGTAAAGTGATGAGGCTTTTTTCTTTTTTAACATGTAAGGTACGAATGCTAAAGATTATATGTCAGCCTCAAACATATAAATTCTCTTAAGTTTTAATTAAAATACCTGTCTCCAAGTGTGGGCCTACGTACAGAAAGGTAATGCTAACATCCCAAAATACTTTTTCTGACAACCACTTCTACAAAAGAATAAAGTCTCCAAAGGTATTAATTGCTTTTGACTCACAATAATTTCATTGTAACATAATACCCTTCCCTGAAAGGAAGGATTTCTAATAACCAATATAGAAAGGCATAGTATTAAATCTCCCGTAGCCACTGAAGTGTCAATCACTTGCCAAGTACTCGTTACATCTTACAAATGTAAGAACTACAATGTGTTTTCTGCTTTCTAACTATATCCTAAGGAGAGAGAGAAGTAATTGATAACTTACTTGATAATAATGTATAACCCTACTATATGCCAAGCCCTGTTCTAGGCAACTAGAGAATGTCAGGGAACAAAATGCCTGCCTTCTTGAGACTTATATTCTAGTAAAGACACCAAGATAATTTTGATCAGTAAGTACACAGGGGGCTGGGGTTGTGGCTCAGCAGCAGAGTGCTCGTCTAGCATGTGCAAGGCCCTGGGTTCAATCCTCTGCACCACATAAAAAAACAAAATAAATGTATTGTACAAATTAAAAAAAAAATAAGTACACAGTATATCAAACCATAGTGTTCTGGAGTACAATAAAGCAAGGAAAAGAAAGAATGGGGAAGGGTAGGTGTGGATGCAATCTAAAGTGAGTCTATTCAGACAGGCCACTGGCTAGGTTCCACGTGAGCAGAGATAAGGGGAGGAGCAAAAGTTGCCACAAGAAGATGTGAGGAGGGACAACTGTGTGGCTACATGTCTGAGAACTGAGAATGGGTATGATAGGAGCTAACAACAGTGTGCTAAGAACCAGAACAGAAGCACTCAGTTGTCTGTGAGAGAGGTGAACTGGGGATGAGTAATGCTCACATGGAGGAATGAAGAACAAGTAGGGACTGAGTGGGTCAAGAATGGAGGGACAGGGGATTCAAAAAAAGGGGAAGAAACATACACAAAAGCAGGAGCAAATGTTAGTCATGGGGACAAAAATCAGGTGATAATGATGATGACAGTGGTAATGTCAGTAGTAGTAGTGATTAATGAGGACAAGTCTGACAGTCCACAAAATACATCACTGTATGATTCATTTAACAGATTACTTTAAGAGGCCTCTGAGATCCCAAAACATAATCATCTACATAAAAATAAACCTGAATAGTAAACACAATAACCCTAAGGTATCTAGAGTATGGTTTTCTGGAACTTCTGGGTTTCCAGAATAATTCCACCTTTGGAATAATTAATTCCAATTAATATCAAAACCAAAAATACACCAAAGGCAAAAGAAAGGGAACACATAAAAAACCCACAAGGAAAGACCCAAGCAGCAGCTACAGGAATTACAGGAGTCAAGAGAAACAAACAGGACAGCGTGGTTTAAAAGAAAAGAGAAAGAACAACTAGTAAAGCTAGGCAAAGAGCAAACCAGATCAAAGAAACAGCAGGGCAGCTGTGCACAGTGGTGCATGGCGGTAATCCAGAGACTCAAAGGCTACCACAGAACAATCACAAGTTCAAGGCCAGCCTGGGTAATGAAGCCAGACACTGTCTCAAAATGAAAAATAAAAAGGGCTGGAGATGTAGCTTAGTGGTACCATATGCCTGGGTTTAATCTCCAATGCTATTAAGAAAAGAAAAAAAAAAAAGAGCTGGTTACATAGCGGGAGAAGCTAGAACAAATCTGTTGTGGGGGTTTGTGCAAAGGTGGCAAAAACTACATAAATTGGCTCTTCTTGGTCCACAGTGCACACACAGAGTGAAGTGAAGGGCTAGCACCACTACCTGAATAGCATCAGTATCCTCAAGGAGCAAATAACTAGGCAGAGCACCTGCCACTACAAAGCTTATCGGGGAACCAAAATGCCAAGCTAGGAGGAGGCAATGAAGACAAACCCATACGATTCCAGCACGGAGTGAGAAGTCCACGAAAGGATGCTTGCCTGATCCCAAGTGGTCAAAGCTACCTATCTAAAGCACCACAGAATTTACTCCATAGCTAACGGAGTGGTGTTACGTCATGTACAGTACTCTAAACAGCAAGTGTAACACAAGCTGACACCACAACACACATTAATTTTAGGCTTTTAACAGAGGTAGGTAGAACCTACAAAGTGAAAACTGAAAACAATGGTACAGGACGACCTGAGCAAATCACCTGACTTAATACTGAGTAAAAAGCAGCCCACAAGGGGCTGGGGTTGTGACTCAGCGGTAGAGAGCTTGTCTTGCACGTGTGAGGCACTGGGTTTGATCCTTAGCACCACATAAAAATAAATGAATAAATGAAATAAAGGTATTGTGGGGAAAAAAATAAATGAATAAACAAAATAAAGGTATAAAAAATAAATAAATAAGGCAGCCCACAAACCACCTACATTAATTAGGGAATACAAACTGACAAATAAGGGGTTTTGTTTGTTTTTGTGGTACAAGCAATTAAATCCAGGATCATGTGCAAGCTAGGCAAAGGCTCTACCACTAAGCTACATCCCCATCCCACACTTTTTAAAATTTATTTTTGAGTCGGTCTAAATTGCCCAGCCTGGCAACTTAAGATTAACTTGATTAATTGATTAACCTAAGACCACACTACTCACGGAGCCAGGTTGAACTGGGTTTCCTCTTACTGTTCTTTCTTTAAATAAGGCAAAATCAACAGTTTTTCAAGTACATAATCTACAAAAGAGCTCACAATAAGAGAAAGACTGAAGGATAGTTTGCTTTCAAGCCTGAACAACAAACTTAGTGTGGACAAACAAATAAACCCAGAGTAGCCAATAGTACCCTGCTGTTAGTATAAAAGGCAATTTCATCTGCAGGCAGCCAGGTATGGCAGTGTATAAAGCTGCCCATAACCCACCCAAGGAGCCTAATGTGAGATGGAACAGCAATGTTGATTCATGGTTCAGAAATGAGGGCTTGAGGAAATATGCATATAACTACATTTTTAAAAAACCTGCCACGCACCCCCGTTATCCCAGCCACTTGGGAGGCTGACACAGGAGGATTGTAGGTTCAAAGCCAGCGTCAGCAACAGTGAGGCGCTAAGCAACTTAATGAGACCCTGTCTCTAAATAAAATACAAAAAATAGAGCTGGGGATGTGGCTCGGTAGTTGAGTGCCCCTGAGTTCAATCCCTGGTAACCCCCCCTCAAAAAAAAAAAAAAATTCAAAGACAAATGAACATAAGGAAATTTTTTAAGCTCAAAGGAATGCTGGGCTCAGGTGGCGTTGACTCTTTGCTCTCACATCATTCATGTCTGCATCTGTAGTTATTTGTATAGCACTGGTTAACAAATTATGCTTATACAGCTACACAATTTAATTTCTCTTGATGATTCAGTTATCAAGGTAGAGAAATACACAGGAAAAATCAGAAAATACTTCCATGAAATGCTTAAATGAGAGTTTTGGGTTTTTGTTTGGTGGTGCTAGGGACTGAATACAGGGCCTTGCAATGTAGGTAAGCACTCTACCACTGAGCTATATCCCCAGACCTAGGTTTTTTTTTTTTTTTTTTAAGAGAATTTTAATATTTATTTTTTAGTTTTCGGCAGACACAACATCTTTGTTTGTATGTGGTGCTGAGGATCGAACCCGGGCCGCACGCATGCCAGGCGAGTGCGCTACCGCTTGAGCCACATCCCCAGCCCCCCAGACCTAGGTTTTGATATGTAAAAGGTTAAATGCTTACTACATGAAACATTCCTTAAAGGAATCACATAGCCAAAGTTTTACTGTACTGAATATAGCATGCCTTATAAGTGAGCTCTAAGTTTGGGGGCCCTCAGGCTACTTAGCCCAGCATCTGCCCTTGCCAGCTTTTGTAGTGGATATTTATGGGCAAAGCCTAAGCAATGGAACTCACAGTACTGAATTTGATGCCAGACTATAAATACCAGCCATCACAATGCCTATAGCTGCATGTTTAAGACATTATTGAGCCCATTAATTCCAGAGATTTAGGAGGCTGAGGCAAGAGGATCAAAAGTTTGAGGTCAGTCTTAGCAAGTTGGGGAGGCCGTCTCAAAATCAAAAATATATTTTAAAAAGGGCTGGGAATGTAGCTCAGTGGCAAAGTACCCCTGGGTTTAATCCCCAGTACTGGGAAAACAACAACAAGTGGCTAATGCATGTAAGGCATGCATAAGACCCTGAGTTCCATTCCCAGGACCCCACCCCTCCACACACACACACAAAAAAAAGCCTATTGAGCAAGAAAGCAATCAATTTAAGTCAGTTTAAGCTGTGACTTAAATGAACAACAATTACATATCACTTTCTTTCTCTAGAGAGGTTTGTAGGGATCAGATATTTGCTACATATGAAAACAGGCTATTCAACAAACAGAAGCAGCATTAGCCTGTGAAAATTAGTATACTAACTGATCTTTTCTTTTTTTTTTTTTTTTTTTAAATATTTATTTATTTATTTATTTTTAGTTTTCGGCGGACACAACATCTTTGTTTGTATGTGGTGCTGAGGATCAGCCCGGGCTGCTCGCATGCCAGGCAAGCGCACTACCACTTGAGCCACATCCCCAGCCCCTGATCTTAAGTAAAGCATAACAAGAAGCAAAAAGAAATAACCTGCTAGGAAAATGCATTCATGTTCTCTACTGCTGTTTCCATTATAATATTTTCCTCCTGCAGTGCCATACCTAAGGAACACAGCTCCAAGGCATTCTCGGGCATGTCCATTGTGCAACTGCTATCCTGCTTCAGGGAAGCAAGATCTTATCTGCCTGCAGCATTAAAATGCAGGTCTAGCCGAAAGAATTCTCACCACTCACAAGATAAAAGTAGAAGAAGGCACTTATGCTTCAGTGAACTACCGGGCTGCACTGTAAAGGAGCCATTTTCTCTCTAGAATAAAGCTAGGGCAAAGGGAAGATCTCATTTATGTTGTCTTAAAGGAGAATTAAACTAGAGGAATTTATTTGCTGATTAAAATAAAAGTTTTGTTTTGTTTTAATGGGAAGTAGGAAGGTCAGGACAGAGAGCTCCCTGCACAATGACAGCATTATTCCCTAGAAACTATTTGGAAGACACTGGGTAACCTAATTCCAGTTAATGTCTTGACTCCTAACATCTGACATTATTTTCAGTTGGTTCCACTTGGCAGTTAAGGAGAAATTTCTCTTTCGTACCAAGGCAAATATCAAAGAATAGGGTAATCTCATTTGTGCACTAAGCCTTTAATAAGCAAATAGTAAGATTCAAAATCCCCAAAGAAACCGACCACTTCATATTCAATATTCAGTAAGTGGGAGGTCTCATTTCTCCTTCCCACAGAGCCTCCTATTTCCCATCATGCTCCAAACAGAGGCTGCACACTACAGCAGTCCCTGATGCTTATTTGTGAGAAAATTCATGAAGATGCCTTCTGCATAGGGCTTCACCTAGGTCCTCAGTAAAACTTCAAAGTCAATTTTATCAACAGCAGAAGTCACCCTGCAGCCTATAACCTTGAATGGAAAGACTTTTCACTCCCAGGCATTTCAGAACTTCACACACTTTCTGAGGAAGAAACAAGATCATTTTCCTACTCCCCCCCAGCCCCGCCCCCCCGCAAGATTTAAAGGTAAGTATTTTTAAAATTAGAGTACAAGGGACGATACAGTCATTTAACATGTACTGAGATTCTTAATCATGAACAGTAATCAGTAGAATGCACAATTAGATCAAGGTCTAGTGGAATGAGCTTTGAAGTTTCATTTCTGCTTTTCAACAAGTGAGGACAGTAAGTAAAAGGCAACTGCTAATAAAGAAAGCCTGGCTCAGTGGCGCATACCTGATATCCCAGCGGCTCAAGAGTCTGAGGCAGGAGGATCAGTAGTTCAAAGCCAGCCTCAGCAACTTAGTGAGGCCTTAAGCAACTCAGTGAGACCCTATCTCTAAATAAAATATTTTATTTAAAGGGGGCTGGGAATGTGACTCAGTGGTTAATCCCTGGTACCAAAAAAATAAATAAACTTAAAAAAAAAAAAATACACACTGAACATTTCTATATAATAAGCTGCATAATTAGCACATATCCACACAAAACGCATTGGATATGGACTTTAAATGTTATATTTACTCACTTTTTTAAAAAACTTTTTTAGGTATAGATGGACACATTACTTTTATTTTATTTACTTATTTTTATGTGGTGCTAAGAATCGAACCCAGTACCTCACATGTGCTAGGCAAGCGCTCTACTACTGAGCCACGACCCCAGCCCCTTTACTCACTTTTTGAAGTGAGTAAAATACCAAGGGAAAAGGTGGAATGACCAAGAAGGAAAAAGCTGAAACCCATTTTTCATATAAAATTTTTTCAGCCTCACCTAAAATCAAAATGAAATATCTGACATCTTAAATTATTAAGTTTAATTCACTTGTAGTGGTGAAGAGCCTTTTAATCACCAGTCCAAGTGTCACTGTTCAACTGTCCCTGAATGAGCAGCAGTCCTGGGAACACTGAGCAAAGATGAAGAGTACCAATACTGGCTGCACAGCTCCAATCTGCCAGATGAAAGACCACTCTTGAAGATATGGATCAAACTATCTTCCTGGAGGTACCAAGTTGGGAAGCAAAAAAAGTTTTATGTCTTGATGTCATCTGATGGATGGCAGAATTCCTGGTAACCTGTATCAGCACCATGGGTGACAACTGTCTGCTCTCATCATAGTCATTGAAGGGAAAGGAAGAATCTCTGAGTGGTAGGCTTTGCTCTGACGTTGACATTCTTGGAGAGAGACACAATACAAAGCTGGATGCCATGGGCAAGTAACCTACATACAGGGCACCATGGCCCTGAGTCCATATGCACCAGCACAGGAAGAAAGGCCTTCCTCTATGGTAACCAGAGGGTGTCAAGCTTTCTGAGAGCTTTCAGAAGACACAATTTCATGTGCATCTGTTATGGCTTAGATGTGTCCCCCGTAAGAAAGCTTAGAGATAAAATGACTGGGTTATGAGAGCCTTAACCAAATTAGTGCATTAATCCACTTGAGTGGATTAAATGGGTAGGAGCTGTGGGCGGGTAGAGTGAGACTGAGAAGGCAGGTCACTGGGGACATGCCTTTGGGGCACCCTCCCGACTGCTTTCTTCCACAAGCTCTTATGCCTTGATTTTTTTTTTTTTTTTGGTATTAGGGATTGAACCCAGGGTCCCTTAACATATCACCAGCCCTTTTAATTTTGAAACAGGTCTTACTGAGTTGCTTAGAGCCTCCCTACATTGCTAAGGCTGACTTCAAACCTCCTGCCTCAGCTTCCCAAGCCACTGGGATTACAGGTGGGTACAATCAAGCCCTATGATGCCATAATGTTTTGCCTCATCTCGGGCGCAGAGCAATGAAGCTTAACTGTCCATGCACTGAAAACTATGAAACCACGACACACACACACACAAAAAAAACTTTTAACTCCTCTAAAATTGTTCTTGTTGGGTATTTTGATCATGGGGTAAAAAAGCTAACTAAACAGAATATGAATAAACCTAGTACAGCTACATGAATGTCCCACTCTCCTTAATTTCATACTAATAGAATAATGGCTCTACACAGAATCCCCTCATCAAATGAAACCAAATGTTTCCAGCTATCTCACTTAAAACTAATTTATAACTAACAATTTCATTGTGACTTATAAACTATCTCAAAGTTAATGTACATATCTACTTATCAGTTAGTTCATGTAACAGCTTTGTCTGGCCAGGTCAGACTCAAAACATTTTGGTGAAAAGAGATTAACAGAAAATACAAAATTCTGTTTTCAGGATACCTCTAAGAATTAAAAGTTCTTCATGTGCTAAGCCAAAAATCTCAGTGAGTTTCAGTTCTAGTTCTGCCTTGGGGAGCTACACAGATGGCCTTTCACTAGTTTGAGTGTTTACATACCTTTAGACGTTCAATGGCTTCCTCTCCTCCAGGTGTAGACATGATCCTCTCCTGAATGCTGGTCACAGATGTTAAGCCCACCTGACTACTGAGTGAGCAGGAAGATGGAGATGACGTAAGGGAGCCCATGGATGCTGTGGAAAAATTGCCAGGGCGTTGATTCTCAGAGGCTAGCAAGTACCTATGTTTATTGTTCTGAAAATCTTTCAGATCTGGGAGATAAAAAGAAGGAAAGACAGAAAAAGAAAAGAGGGAAAGGAACAGAAGAAGGAAAAAAAGATAGGAAGGAACACCAGTGTAAGAAAGGATAGCATTACAGCGCAAGACAAAGACATGTTTTAATACAAAGACAAGTTACAATCGTTCTAGATGGCAGTTCTAAAACACGGCTCTTTAATATTGGTATCCTAGAGGTTAACAATCTCTTCTGGATTTAGAAACTAAAAATCCCAAGGTGGGTTAGCATTTTATCTGGCAGGAGGTAAACAAAGCCTCAAAAGCACTCTATCAAAACAGCTAAAGAATATTTCTTGTATTCTTTCTACTGTTCCACATCTACAATGCCTTCACATTTATACTACCTTGAAATTCCATGACTTTGTAACAGTAAGGATAACAATGATCATTTATTTATCAATAATAATCCATATTAACCTGGTTAGAGTTTTGTGGAATTGTCAAAAATTTTCCAAAAAATGTAAAGAGTTAAAAGAAAATTCTGAGCACTAAGCAGTATATTTGTATAACATTTCAACATGCCAAAAAAAGATTTTTAAAATGTCTTAAATCAAAAAAAAGAGGTAACTGTATAAGTGAGAGGAATTTTAAGTCTAGCTAAGAATACAGAACTGAATGCTTGCCCCAACAGGGAAAGGCAATTAACAAATTAATAAGTTCTGTTGTAGTTTCCATATTTCTATTATGGCAAACAAAAACATAAGACTGATTATTTGTAAATTTAAGTAAGGCCTTTACTGTGCATAACAGTATGACCATAGGGTTACTGGTAAGTAAGCCTGCTTTCTATTTTGATATATAAGTTTTAGGAAAATATTTTATTTATGAAGGTGTCCAACAACTATAAATTTAGCTCTGAAACTTATTTTTGGTTAAAAAAAAAAAGACACACAAAACAAAGTTCATTAATTCACTTATTTGTGCTTTCCTCCATTAGTCATTTTCCCCAAATGAACACCAGAGGAAAACTGGCACACTCCTATTTTAAAATTAGCTCATTTTTAAAATTAAGAAAATCTACATTGCTTAAAATTCATACCAAAACTAAATTTTCCTTAAAGGATATGAGGCAATACAATTAAAAAAACACTATTCAATTCTCTCTTGTTTTTACTATTTAATCAAAAGCCAGTTCTTGAAGCCCCTCAAAGCGTGTGGTTGCTTCAAGACAGTTTGAAAACCACCATCTGCAAATATAGAAGAACATAGGGAAACAAGCAAAGAGGCATGTTTTAAAAGGGAGATAGGAACTAAAGCAAAAAATTCAGCCACCAGGTGATGGTAGCAAGGTGGGAAAGAGGAAGATGGATAAGCTTAGAAGGTCCCATGGACACATGCAAGCCCTAAAAGGAGTTAAGTGGATCCAAATGGAAACTGAGAAGTAGTCAGGACTGCTTTTCTTTGCAGTTAAGGAATTCAAACTTAGTCATGCATGATTTTCAGGAAATGCCATAGCTGCTCAGAGAAGAGATAGGCACCAAGCTGGCAGCAGCAACACCTCAAGCATAAGAGCAAAAACAAAAAGGCATCCTTTCCACACCAGTATGGTTCAGCTTTGGAAATCTCAGACAGAGCTGTTCCAGTCCAAGAGTCACATGTGTATCAGGACAATTAAAGGTCTGGGGGGCTAACCAATCACGACAACTAGAGCTATATTCCAGTTCTCCTCATTGTGTGACATGCTTTACTGCACAACTAAATCAATAAGAATCCAAAAATTAAACCCCAAAACAAGGTTCTTCACATCTTTGTGCATGTGTGTCTATGTGAGCACTGGGGATTGAACCCAGAGGTGCTTTACCACTGAGTCACATCCTCAGCCCTTTTTATTTTAAGTCACTAAATTGTTTAGGGCCCCACTAAGTTGCTGAGGCTGGCCTCAAACTCGGTGATGCTTCTGCTTCACCTCTAGAGTCCCTGGGATGACAGATGTGTACCACTGCACCTGGCTATTCTTTAAATCTTATAAGATAACAAAGCTTACGTGAATTTTAAAAGGGTAAGCAATCATTTCCTCATTAGCTCAGGGCTACCCGTGGAGAGAGTGACCTGTTATGTCATTTCACGCATATGGACTCTTCATTAATTTGTAATTTTAAAATGAGGAAAACTTATTATTCAACCTTTGAGTAAAGTGAGGTTCAAGATATCAAAACACAACTGCAAAAGCATAGGTTGAGTGCTAACCCAACTTTCATATAGAGCTCCTCAGAGAGTTTGGCCAGGTGGAAGTGATTTTTTAATTCTAAAAGTCTTATATTTACAACACTAATTAAAAAGGACTTCTTCATTAAATAATCAACTCAAGAGGCAAAAATAAATAAATAAAACCCAACAACAACAAAAACCAGTATAATGATTAAAAGCCAAGGGCTCTGAGTTATACTACCAAACTGATCATACAAGAAACATGAGGTCTAAGGAAACTAACTACTCCAGGTTACTAGCAAAATGAGAATAATGGAACTTTTTCAGAGTCAGTGACAGAACTGAGATAATATGTTTAAGGTGTCTAGAACAGGGCCAGGTACATTATACACTTATATCAAAAAAATGTGAGCTACCCTATTTGATTCAAATGTATGATATGTCAAGATCATTGTACTGTCATGAGCAACTAATAAAATAAAAAAGTAAAAATTTTTAAAAAAGTGAGCTGCTATCACTGTCCTCATAATCTATGATTTGGGACTTAATCACATAGGGGTAGGGATCTAAAAAGTAGAACAGTAAGAAATTCTTATGCCTTCACTCAAGCTAAAAAACTGAAGTTCATCAAAGATAGCTTTGCTAAATGGAAAAGGGCAAACAGGAGAACTTCTGATTCCACAGGATGCTCCGTCTGGGATTTCCTGTTAGGATCACTGGCATGCAAAGCTCATTTTTAAGGCTGATCCAGCAGAGGCAGATTAGCAACTCAGCATACTGGGAATAACGAATACATCAAATACACACATTTGCCTCCACTTCCAGAGTAATCATCGATCAATGGATCAACTGAAGGTAAGCAGGAGGGAAAATACAAGGGTCAAAGTTCAGGTTCAGCAGTGACGAGAGAGGAACAGAGCAATATTCGGCATTGGGAAGATAAAAAAAGTTAATACTTAGATTATCATTTTTACAAATTATATTAATTAACTTGAGCTCTAACCAGTAAGAACTAAAACAGGCCTTGAAAATCTATTAGAATTTCAAAGACTATAATATTAATTTTACACTGAAAAATATGCTTTATTAAACAAACATTCTATTCTATCTAAATAATCTATTTTACATACTTAAGAGAACATTTTGAAATGTTGGACACAAAACCCAGGGCCTTGCACATGCTAGGCAAGTGCTCTACCACTGAGCTAAATCCCTAGCCCTTACTAAAAACAACTTCTGCAGGGTGAGGTGACACATGCCTGTAATCCCAGCAACCCAGGAGTCTGAAACAGGAATATTGCAAGTTGGAGGCCGGCCTTAGCAACTTATGGACACTGTCAACAATCTGGTGAGACCATGCCTCAAAATAAAAAAATAAAAAGAGCTTGGAATGTAGCTCAATGGTAATGTGCTCCTGGGTTCAATCCCCATTGCCAGAAAAACCCATGAAACAAATATAAAAACCTCCAAAAACTTTTTTTTGGAGGAGGGGTTGGAGGGATACCAGGCATTGAACCCAAGATGCCCTACCACTGAACTACAACCCTATCCATTTTTATTTATTTATTTATCTTTTAGTTTTGAGACAGTGTCTCACTAAGTTGTTGAGGCTGGTTGTGATCCTCTTCTCCAAACTGTGATCTTCCTGCCTCAGCTCCCAAATTGCTGGGAGATATCTATCACTATGCCCAGCTCCAATAAATATTTTTATAAATTAACTCAGTGAAATTAAGCTTTACATTAAAAAAAAAAATTAATCAATCAATCAATCCATGGATAGCCTGGTACATACTATATAAAGGAATTCTGAGATCATAGTCATTATTTTTCTTTTCTTGAACTGGAGGTCTTTCTATGTTGCCCAGACTGTCTGAAACCTTTAGCTCAAGCAATTTTCCCCACTTCATCCTCCAGAGTAGCTGGCATTACAGGTATGCACAACTGCACCTGGCTCACTGGATCTTTTTAAGAAAAAATACACATTAAACCACTTTTAGCACAATCTAGTGACCAAGTTCCTTAAATCTAAGCTTATTTTAAATATAAAGACCTAATGTTTATTTTAAATATATATTTTATGTTGTTCCTTAATTTACTTACTATCAATAATATCTCCCAGCCCCTGTGCACGTAGAAGGTCCTTCAGCCGTGTCACTTCCTCCTTTAATTCACGAACCAGTTTGGCATTGGGGTCCTCATTGATAACAGCATTGCATTTAATTTGTTTTGCACGATCTGCATATCTAGATTCAAGAAGAAAATTCATTCTTGCCATTTCTCAGGTACTCTTCTTCACAAAAGTAACATACCATTACTTCTAAGTCAAACATCTTGAGTATTTATATATTTTATATGCCCCTTTTATATAAAGCTTTATAGTACCTTATAAAGATGAAAAAGGCTCAGATGAATTTAAGTGATTTTTCCCAAGATAACAAAATAAATAAATAGCAGAGAGAATGCAAACCCAGTTTGTTAGATTATAGAATATTTTTTCACTTCTTTTACTATACCAAGGTATCTTCTTTTGGTTGGGGGGGCCACCGAGGGTGGTACTAGGATTGAATCCAAGGTGCTCTACCATTGAGCTACATCACCAGACTTTTATATTTTGTTTTGAGATAGGGTCTTGCTAAATTGTCCTGTCTTCAGCCTCCTGAGTCACTGGAATTACAGATGTGTGCCCCTGCACCCAGTTTCAAAAGTTTTTTTTTTTTTTTTTAATGATTACAAACTCAAGAAGACAGAGTTCCAGATGAAAGTAATAAAACCCATTCACATGCAAATATTTTCGGTTAAGTGAACATTCTGTTGGTAAATTATATATTTTTAAATTTTTTTTTATAGTATGGGAGATTGGACCTAGAGAGCCTTATGCATGCTAGGAAAATGCCCTAACACAGAGATACAATCCCAACCTTTTTTACTTTGAGACAGGATCTGGCTAAAGTACCCAGGCTGGTCTTGAACTTGCAATCCTCCTACCTCAGCCTCCTGAGTAATTGGGATTACAGGTGTGCGCCACTATACCTGGCTTGATAAAGTTTTTTTAATGCCACATGTACTCATAATTGTATTACATAATTTTTACAACTTGAGCATTTCCATAAAGACAGAAGCTGTATTCACAGAAGGGAACACTTTTTAAAGAAATGAATAAGGAATATTTATTATTATGTAGAAGTTGTTCAAAACTCTCATTTGAGCAATTTGAACATCTTTCCTTGAAAAAGTTCCTGACTTTCCCAATGAACTGCCAACCATAGACAGGTAAATTCCATTATAATAAAAATCACTCCCCCCCCCCATATATTCCCTGTTAAGAGAGAAAGGGGGGCTGGGGTTGTGGCTCAGTGATAGAGTGCTCACCTAGCACATATGAGAAGGCCCTGGGTTCAATCCTCAGCACCACATAAAAATAAATAAGTAAAATAAAGGTATTGTGTCTAACTACAACTAAAAAATAAATATTAAAAAGAGAGAGAGAGAAAGGGATCACTGTTTACACAAATGACTATCAACGCAGCATAAGAAAAATCCATGGTATAACAAAATGATTGAATGTGGGTCTACTTGGGAAGTAAGGTCAAATGAGAGTACCTCAGAGTGCTCAAAGTTTCATCATAGTTGATATCTGCTGGGCTAAGAGCGGCAACCATTGCAGTCCGAGAATTGCCACCTAAGAAATGAATCAGATCCCAAATTATACTCATTTAGAAAGAATGTTATTGAATGTATCAAATCTAACAGCTTTAACTCATATCCTAATATTTAATCAAAGGCCAACAACTTTCTTAAATACCAGTCCCCATTCCAGGCACTGTTATACTCAACTACTGGTCTATGAATCTACTGGGTCTAGTTCTTGTTCTCTCACTCTCTCTAGAATCTACTGCAGTCAAGATAGCCACTCCATTAAAACTGGTGTTAGCAATGGGAAAGTCACTGCCTGGGGATCAGCCCAGTCTCTTTCTTCAGTCATCAACATCTGACATGGCTAATCTCTCCTTCTTCCTGAGAAGGAGGAGCAGCGAATGAAAAGCAGGACTGGAAAGTCAAGAAATATCAGCAATAAGGAGAAGTAAGAGTTGGCAACATCTGATTATGGGCACCTCAGAGGAACATGAGGTTTGGAAAGAACTTTTGAGAAAGAAGCAAAAGTTTGAAGAAGCTATAGGGAATCAGGAGGATAATGCTTCACAGTTCATACTCTGAAATAAATGAAATATGGGAGAACACCCAAATTTTAAAGTGAATATAATCAGCTGAAATGAGAAGCAAAGATGAAAAAAAGCAGAACATTCAGTTAGTAACATGAATAACTAAAGAAGATTCTTCCCCAAAACAGACACAGAAAAATTAGCCAATATGTAAACAGATTTCAAAAGATATCTATGAAATGAATTTGTGTCAGTAGTCAACATACCTAGATTTTCTCGAAGAAGCCAAGTGAGTACAGAATCCCTGTAAGGAATGAAATCAGTTTTCTTCTTCTTTTTACTCTATTGAAGAAAAAGGAATAAACTTAGTATTGTTTAGGGGAAAAATTCACTTGAAAGGCAAATCAGTCTAAAATTCCCAAGCAAATCAAATTACAGATGAATTCCATCATTGTTGAAATTTATCATTCACAGTTTTAATTCTTCATAATATCCAAAACTCATGCAATTATTTTTTCATTTTATATCTTAATTATGAAATTTGTATTATAACAAACACAACAGTCAAGAGAGTGTATAATGAGTTACCAGATACCCACATGCAGCTTCAACCATTAACAATATTTTGCCATAATTATCTTTCAATTACTCTCCCAAATACTTTTTTACATTCCTTAAACATTTTGTAGTAAGATGCAGATATTATATCTAAACATTTCAGCAGATAAGGATGTTCTTTTACAGAGTATAATGACCAAGTTCAGAAAAATTTTAACATCAATCCAATGTTGTTATTTCATATGCTGCCCATATCATGTCTGTTATAGGTCTCAGTGTTTAAAGCAAACCCAGCATTTTACTCTAGGTACTTTAGGTACATATTTCTAACAGAAAGGACTTAAAAAAAAAAAAGATTATTATCACACTTAGCAAAATTAACAGTAATTCCTTACTATTGTCTTATATCCAGCTCTCAAACAATAAGTTTTATTTTTACAGAGGTATAAATATGAATCCTGTGCGTTCCCAGTGCTGGGGATACCGGCGTTTAACACCGTGCCTGTCACAAGAGTCATTTTCAATAAATAGGCTCAATTTAAAACTGCACAAGCCTCCTAGGATAAGTTAGCCTTTCAGTTCTTCACAGAATGATGAGTCAAACTTTTCCACTAAATGAAGAAATTTCATTTATTGCCCTTTCAAGAGGTTTATAGAACTGTCAAAAGATAGTCCTATAGATCACTAGAACAAACATAAGATAATACAATGTAAAAGCTTCCTCAAATAAAGTTCCTTTATTCTTAATTCCTTTTCCAAAAAACATCATGTTCCTAAAGTAATTCTGGTGTGAAGTCTCATGATTTATGGTCACCCTAAACAGCCAGAAGACAAATGATAAAAAGTTCTTTGAAGGTTCCATTCCATGCTTCTATATATTCTCTGAGGATTTAAAACCATGAGTTGATTCTATAGCTAGTTCATATCTACGAATCCCCACCATACCTTGCTGGTGCAGTTATCCTATAGACGAAAGCATTTAAGGGAGAGAACAAGAACACAGGATAAACCTCAAACAAAAAAATAGTGAAGTCATAGATTATGACTTCTCAGACACAGATAAGAAAACATTTAATTCTACTTAAGCAATTTAAATGAGATTATTAGTGTACATCAGAGCACACATGATGAATACTTCCTTGGCTTCTAACCTAAATAATAAAGACGATTATATAAAAATTGTGTTAGCTCTTATGTTCCACTGTTAAGGAATAGGAAAGAATGAAGTTACAGTCATGTCCATGTGTGGTGGCACACACCTGTAATCCCTGTAACTTGGGAGGCTAAGGCAGGAGTATTGCAAGTTCAAGGTCAGCTTCAGAAACCCAGTAAGACCCTAAAGCAACTTAGCAAAACCCTGTTTCCAAATAAATAAATAGAAAGGAAGGGAGAGAGAGGCAGGAAACTGGGGATATAGCTAAATGGTAAAGAAACCTCAGTTCAATCCTCAATACTAGGGGGAAAAGAAAAAAAAGAGAGAAAGAGAAAGGCAGAAAGGAAGACAGGAAGGGAAATTACACTTCTGTGCTGAATAATGGCATTTCAGTCCATGTACAGACTGCATATATGATGCTACTCCCATAAAACTATAATAGTGCTGAAAAATTCCTAGGTGGTAGCACAACTACTGCTCACTTGTTTAAAACCTATTACACTGTCAGTTGTATAAAAACACAGCATATACAATTAAGTACATAAGTGTCTGGTTTAATATTTACCATACTCTACTTTTTTCTATTATTTTAGAGCATTCTCTACTTCCTAAAAAGAGTTTACTGTAAAATAGTATGCCATATGTCAGTAGCAGCCTCATGCATCTTGTGTTTACCTTGTCCACTGATTGCACCATTCTCTTGTGCTTGATTTAATCTCATGCTGTTCTGTTCATCACAGTTGTAGGAGCAGTAGGCTCTACCAAAGCCAAGTTGTATAACTGTATACTATCAGGTTTGTGTGAACATACTGTATGACACACCCACAATATCAAAACTGCCTAATGATAAATTTTCCAAAGCATACACTCCTTGTTAAGTGATGTATGACTGTGTTTTATTTTTATTTTTCACTTTTGTAGTGCTAGGGAACAAACCCAGGGCTTCACACTCTACCCCTGAGCTACATCCCCAGTATTCTATCTAGAAAAAAACTGCACAGGAAAAGGACATACAATAAATACACTTTTTTTTTTTTTTTTTTTTTGGTGAGACACAAAATAAAGCTCAAAAAATTAGTCAAACCTTTGATTTTTGCTCTAGCCTTTATACATCTACATGTGCTTTCATTCTATGTTCAGCACAGACTCAAACTGTGTCAGACCTTCTGTCTTACCTGAAAAGTTCTAAAAGGAGAAAGGCAAGACTACATAATAGGGTCAAAACACAGCAGCCTCTGTAAACAAGCATAAAGTAACATCAAGTCTACCTGCTGTACAAACAATTTCCCCTTAATAAAAAATGAAGTAGCGGGGGATGTAGCTCAGTAGTGGAGAGCTTGCCCTGCACATGTGAGGCACTGGGTTCAATCCTTGGCACCACATATAAATACAGGTATTGAGTCTATCTACAACTAATACATATATTAGTTGTAAAATATTATTTTTAAAAAATGAATTATAAAACTTACCACCTCTGCCAAGGCTGAAATGACTTTGCCCAAAGTTGTAAGAGACTTATTAATATTTGCTCCTTCCTAAAATAAACATCAAACATGAAAGAATTAGGATGAAGAGTTTCTACTACTGTCACATCATTCATATAGAAGATAAGCTTGCCATATGCTAGCATATTTGTTGATGTCCATAAGTTCTAAAATTTCATTTAGTCCTCAGTAACTTCTCCTCACACTTAATACCATGCTGAGGCCACATACCTACCTCATAGTTCCAAGTATTTTCCAGATATTTGTATTCCAAAACCTTACAGATGCAGACTGCTTTCCACAAATCACCAACGTAAAATTTCTGGTCTTGTTAAACAATCTTTTGTTCTCATATCTGGATCTTGTATATCCTATTCCCATTACTGTCTTACTTCTAACTAGTCAAAATCTGCCTGTTTCCCAAACTGCAATTCAGGTCTCACTCGACCATTATGTCTTCCCTAACTATTTTGTTATCCAACTTAACCTTTCTTTGAAGTCAAAAGATCCTCAGCAGGTCAAAATTTTCTATAAAGGGTCAAACATAAGTTTGTGGGTCATGTAATATCTGTCGCAACTCTGCAAAAGCATCCATAGACAACATATCAACTGATGGATAGAGCTATATTTCAATACAATTTTATTTACAAAACAGGTGGTGAGCTGGATTTGTCCCACTGGCCATAGTCTGCTGACCTATGTTACAGAACACTGACAAGGCCACTTATTTGGTAAAATAGATACCTTTAATCGAGTTCCTTTGGCACCAGTTGAATCAGCTCGTTCACTTCCTGCGAGATCCACCAAGCTGATTTTACTAACCTAGCAAAGAACAGTAACATGGGAGCAATTCAAATAGAAGCAGAAAACATTTAAAGGCAGGAAATTCTTTTAAAAATTAAGGTATGAAGAAGATTAAAAATATTAGTGCTCTTAACCATGACTCAAGATGACAAAGACAACAAACATATATGAAAATCAGTTTAAGAAGCATATACATAAAGCTGGGGGTGTGACTCAACATCTGACCAGCAAGCTCAGCACATACGTGCACAACACGTGCACGCACACACACAGAGCATAAAATTCATAGCAACTATCTTGGTTCTAAAGTAGTAAAATGATTGTGGCTTGGATGTAATCTGTCTCCCAAGGGTTCATAAGCTGAAAACTTAATCCCCAATGTGGCAATATTTAGAGTGTAAAACCTTTGAGAAGTGGAACATACTGGGAAGTTCTTAGGTCTATGGGGGTGCTGCTCTTTGAAGGGATTAGGGAGGTCCTTGTGGGACCCCTGAGTGAGTTCTCAAGGGAGAGTTGTTATAAAAGGACAAGGCTAGCCACTCCCCAGCTTCTTTGGCTTCCTGTGGGAGATGTGATCTCTCCTTTTTATACCTGCTCCCACCATTGTGATGCCATTTGTCATAAGGTCCTCATCAGAGTCAAATTTGATGTGGATGCCAATGCCCTGAACCTCCAGAACTATGAGTAAAACAAGCCACTTTCCACTTTTCTTTTCTTCTTCTTTTCCTCCCACTAGTATTGGGTAATGAACCCAGGGGCACTTTACCACCAAGCTACAACCCCAGCCCTTTTTATTTTTTATTTTGATACAGGGACTTGCTAAGTTGCCAAGACTGGACTCAAGCTTGCAATCCGCCTGCCTCAGCCTACTAAGTAATTGGGATTACAGGAGTGTACCACAATGCCCAGCAACCTCTTTTCTTTATTAAGTTACCCAGCCTCAGGTATTTTGTTATATTAACAATAACTGAACCAGTTCATAACTTCAGGATAAATATGACATTTTACTATAGTATGTCAAAATAATATATAAAACTCATTAGTGTAGTACTAAATGGTATGTTAAAAAAGAAGCTACAAGGAACCAGAACTCTCATATATACTGTTGGTGGGGAAGTAAAATGTTATAGTCACTTTGAAAAGTAGTTTGGCAGTTTCTTAAGAAACTAAATACTCATCTACCATAAGACTCAATATACAAACTGTGATGTATCTATATAATGTAATATTTGTCAGAATGAAAAGGAACAAACTACTGATAAACTCTGTAACATAGTTGAGTCATAAAATCATTACACTAAGTCAAAGAAGCCCAGCAAAAAATAGAGCATGCTATATGATTCTATGTACATAAAATTCTAGGAAACAAGCTAATCTCTAGTGGCAAAAGCAGATCAGAAGCCCAATGCAATGGAGTGGGCCTGTGATCCCAGCAACTCAGGAGGCTAAGCCATGAGGATTTCAAGTTCAAGACTAGTCTGGGCAACTTAGAAAGACCCTGCTCAAAAGGGGAGAGAGTAGCTGGGGCTATAGCTCAATGGTAAAGCACCTGGAGTTCAATCCCCAGTTCTAGTTCCACACTGCCCCCCTGCCAAAAAAAAAAAAAAAACACCAGCAGATCAGGAATTGCCTGCAATGGGGTAATAGAGGTATACAGAGGTATTACAAAGGGGCCTAAAGCAACTTTTTTAGGTAACAGAAATTCTCTTAATCTGGACTGTGGAACTGGTTGCATAGTTATAAAAATATTTCAAAACATAGCTCAAATTTTACACTTTAAATATTTATAGTTTATTGTATATCTCTGTAAAGTTGTTTTAAAAAATTATATTTCAAGAAACTCTAGACAAAAGGTCCAAAATGGATTATCAAGAAAGATATTGGGCTGGGAGTATAACTCAGTGATAGAGCATTTACCAAGCATGCTCAAGGCACTAGATTCAACCCCAGCACCAAAGGGGAGAGGGGGCACTACAGCTACGGATTAACATAATTAATTTTGCAGATTTAACATTGTGGGAAAAAGGCAAAACATTTTCATATAGAATGTCCCTTGGTGCCATTCAGAAAAACACTAACCACTAAATAGCATCAACATTATTACCTCTGGCAAAGCAAGTTATTTGATCACCTATAACTAGTATATTTTTTTAAATGATTTTTAGCTGAAAGCAAATAAAATGTCATCAAGAAAAAAGGTGTGGGCTGGGGATGTGGCTCAAGCGGTAGCGCGCTCGCCTGGCGTGCGTGCGGCCCGGGTTCGATCCTCAGCACCACATACAAACAAAGATGTTGTGTCCGCCGAAAAACTAAAAAAATAAATATTAAAATTCTCTCTCTCTCTCTCTCTCTCTCTCTCTCTGTCTCTCTCTCTTTCAAAAAAAAGAAAAAGAAAAAAGGTGATTCTAGTTTTTAGTGACAATGATATCACACACAATACACTAATTTTATATAGCAAAGGATCCTGTGTAACTGCTAGCACAATAAATCTAAATTCAGATTTAAGATTGGATGCCACTTAGGAATGCACACAGAGCATAATTTAACTTTTTATTATTATTAACAGTAATAGCAACAAAATTAACATTTACTTGGGAGGCTGAGGCAAAAAAAACTGCAAGTTCAAGGCCAGCTTCAGTAACTTAGTGAGACCTGTCTCAAAATAAAAATTAAAAAGAAAAAACTATTGGGGAAGGGGGAGGTAGGGCCTGACTGGTAACATAGCTCAGTGGTGAGGCACCTCTGGGTTCATCCTAAGTACTATAAAATTAACATTTATTAAGTAGCTACTCTGTACTAGACACTATTATATGTACTTAATCTATATTAATATTTGATCCTTTTTAACAACTCTATAAGGGTTTATAGGTGAAGAAAATGAGGCACAAAGAGGTTAAATAATTTGCCCAGGTTAATATATCTGAAAAGTAGCAGTCAGAATTCAAAGCAAGAAGTTTGATTTCAAAATCTATAAATTTTGGTTTTGGTATTGGGGATTGAACCCAGCAGTGTTTTAACACTGAGCTACATTCCCAGCCCCTTTTATTTTTTATTTTGAGAAAGAGTCTCCATAAATTGAAGGGGCTCGCTACAGTGCTGGGACTGACCTGGAACTTGCAATCCTCCTGCCTCAATCTCCAGAGCTGCTAGGATAATAGGTATGCACCTCTGCAACTGGATTGCAATATTTAAACACTATACAAAGTAAGAAATTAACAAGAACGGGTATTTGAAGAAAACCAGAGTTCTCATGGAGTTATATTTGTTTTCCAGGAATAAAACATATTCTGCTTGCCTAATCATTTTCTTCACCATTTAATCCCACAGTAATATTCTGTAGTAACATTATTAATATTATCATGGTTCAGTCAGGAAGAAAAGGATTTTCTCCCCACGGATCCGCTTTGTAGTTTATGAGACCCAAAGTCTTAAGACTGTTTTTTCTTATCTCTGTTTTCTATTCTGTGATTTCCTTTAAGAACCCATGATGAAACTGATACAAGATGGAAGAAAAATGTTAAGTACAGGCTATAAAGTACCATCCGTTAAGTAAAAGAGCAATCTACCTCCCTTTCACAAAATACACAGGATATTAAAGGGATTTCTCAAAATTCCCACCTCTGCAACTCAAACCTAGAGACGATGTTCTCCTACCTTCTCAGTGGAAAGGTTGGTCTCAGAGTCATGTTTCTTCTGGGTGAAAACAATGGTGAACACAGCGTGGGAACGGCTACTTGTTTCATTCATGTTGGTAGCTGCCACTGTCCTAAATAAACACAATGGTGACCACGTGACAATGGAATTCTTACATGTGGAGCAGCAGGCTCTACATTATAAGCATAACAATCACAAGTTATGGCCTTAAACTGTTAGACTGTCACTTACACAATTGCTCTTAATACTATCTTATTTGTGAGCCCATCAAGATACCCTCCAACTCAAAAAGCGCCCCATCAGAATCATTTTTCATACTCCAGCTATCCCTTTAGAAACCACCAGAGCATTAAATTTTTATTCTTTATTAGGTGCTCATTTATTCCAGACTCAATTACTACCACCGATACACATAGACAAGATGACTAACACTTTACCACGGCTTGATTAAAACTTAAGGGTAAAACTTAACCAAAGTTCTGTTTCAGTAGTGTATTGTTTTGATGAGAAGAAAGACAGAAGCCCCCAACTCTCCAGCATGTGAGACTAAGTGAACTGAAGCAACTGTTATCACTATCATCATGGGATAGTCATAAATAGGAAGAAAGAGCCCCAAAATGTGCCAAAGGCCTCAGTCATTAGCCAGTTTTCCACCATACCTGGCTTTGTTCCCAGCATCCATGAGGTCAGCAATGTCTGTGTAGGAAGTGACCGCCAGTTTCGACAGATCCTCCACATAGGGTCCAAGAAGTGGGTGTTCACGCACACGCAAATTACCCTTGTTTTTTGGATTCAGCAAATCTCGTACTCTTTCACAGTAAATTTCCATGTAGCTCACCTAGGAACATATTATTAAAGTGAATTAAAGGACCTGGAAAAAGAAACCACAGACAGCAAAAATATTGTTTTTAATTTTTATTTTTTGTAGTTGTAGATGGACAGAATGCCTTTATTTGTTTACTTTTATGTGGTGCTGAGGATCAAACCCAGTGGCTCACGCATGCTAGGCAAGCACTCTAGCACTAAGCTACAGCCCAGCTCAAAGCAAAAAGATTTTTACAGAAGTTTTTAAAAAGCTCTACAATTAGGGATCAGCAACATTTACGAAGTGAAATGTCAAAGTTCTAGGCCCTTGGGGCTGGGGTTATGGCTTAGTGGTAGAGCGCTCGCCTCGCACGTGCGAGACCCTGGGTTCGATCCTCAGCACCACATAAAAATAAATAAGTGAAATAAAGGTATTGTGTCCAACTACAACTTAAAAAAAAAAAAAAAAAAAAAGTTTCTAGGCCCTTTTTTCTATTAGTAGTATGCACCCTGTGTAGGTTAGAACCCACCTTCTGACTTTGCAGGGAAGGAAGGTTTTATCTCTGGCACATAATGGTTGCTACTTGTCTTAGGCAGGAAAGATATTTTAGTAGCAATTTATCAGTTATCAATTTTAAATGTACATACTACTGTCAGTAATGGAAATTTAAAGTGAAGTCACTCCAAGGGTTGGAAAAAAAGAATTCTATCAGAGTTAAAACCAAGGAACAATATTAATATTCCAGAGCAGGGAGGACAAGAGACCAGTGACTAATTCTTTAAGACTGACCACACTGTTATGAACTACGGACAACATATATACCAGAAGGACTGAGGGCTGGCTGATAATTCATATGGCCTAATTGAGACCTAAAAAGAGGAGGAAACCTCAGAAAATAGATATTTCATAAATTCTTGTGTCACCAGCAGGACCATGCCTACCACGATGATGAATGAATTAGGCTTAACCTGAGGCAATTACACAATTTATCTAATCAATTCCCTTCCAATTTCATGCTTACCAAACCACTACCAGGATTCCAAAAGAGGTTGTGCACAGAAAGATAATAAACTAGGTCTTGCAAAGTGAGTGTTCTGGTCTTAGTTATTCCTCATGGAATAATAAAAGCCAATATATTGGGTTTCCTAACATCAGCCAAATGAGCTTCACTCAAGAGTCTGACTTTGAAGGATAGTTTTGTTCCCAATGTATCTATAAAATCAGCCTTCTAAGCACATAAGTCTCTGATCTGGGATACATTCACCATGGTAGGCCACTTTATGATGCTTCCCAGGAATGAGATCCTTCTGCATCACTGTGCTACAGGAATACAATATAAACTGCATTTTTCAACTTAAATTTCTACAGACACATTTTCCAAGTATTTGCACTGGAACCTTATCTCCATTTCTACTGCCTTTCTCCTTTTGTCAGTCTCGATCTGTATTTTTATATTGGTTTTTAAAAGTCAGTTAAAAATTAAGAATCCTGAAAGTAAATCATCTATTATGGGAGTAAAACAATAGGACAACAAATTTTGTTTCTGACAGCAATTCACACTAGAAAGTGAAATGACTTGTTTTAATCATGTTTGCCTGCTTAAATTCACACAATCCTGAACTCCCAGAAGATACATGTATCTATCAAAAAGTTGGTCTTTTTCACTCAAATGTGAGACTAAGTGAACCCAAATAACTTGAGAGAAGATTAGTGTACACCACTGCTTATTCTCTACTATGTGAATCCATCCAAAGTCATTATTATTTATTTTACTTATGAACCAACCATGACAGACCTCACTTGGCAAATCCAATTCACCAACCATCTTCCAGACATAGTCTAGGCACCTGACAGACATCAATAAATAAAACAGACAAAGATGCTGCCCTTGGGACTGGGGTTATGGCTCAGCAGTGGATTGCTTGCCTCATATGTGCAAGGCCCTGGGTTCAATCCTCAGCACCACATAAAAATAAATAAAGTTATTGTGTCCAAAAAAAAAAAAAAATGCTGCCCTAGTGACTTTATAATTCTAGCAATGGTGACTACAAGGAACAACAAATGCAATAAGTAGATAGTTTATGAAGTATGTTAGAACACGATGAATACTGCAGGAAAAAGAAAACCAGAACAAGCGGGATTAGGATTGCTGGGGCAGAGTTATAGTGTTAAATACAGTGGTCAAGGTCAGTCTTGCTGAGAGGGTAAGATTTGAGCAAGGACATGAAAGAAGAGGGAAACTTAGTCAGAAAAATAAATCTAGGGGAAGGGCAGAGAGCATGGTTCAGTGGTGGAGAGCTTGCCTAGCATGTGTAAGGCCCTGCATTTGGTCCCTGCACTATAAAAAAATAAACAAATAAACAAACAAATATATATATATATATATATATATTTTTTTTAAGTTATTAAAGAGAGAGAGAAAAAGAAATCCAGGGGAAGAACCTTTCCAGCGGAAGGAAGAGTAAATATAAAAACCCTGAGAAAGGACTGCTCCTGGCATATTCTAGAAACAGCAAAACACCAATATAGATGAAGCAGAGAACAGAGAAAGAAGTAGGAAAGGGGGTTAGAAAATGTGACAAGGAACCATAGTATCCACCAGGGATCCAATTTGTACTTCAAAATAAGTCTGTGAACTCTAATTTGAAAGGAAATGGCATCTTCTTTTATTATCTATAAGCTCAAACACTGTAGCACCTGATTTAAAAAAAAGAATGGTTATGGGATGAGCCAAGCTGTTTAGAAAATTCATCTCAACATAAAATATTCTTAGAGCACATACACTTTTTGGTCTATGATAGTCACAAGGCAGAAATTCATGCGATGCCTTATAGGTTAAAGAAAAACTCAAGGCCACTAAGTGGAATAACGAGGAATTAAGTCCTACAGAAAATTACAACACAGAGCAGGATGTAGCCTGGTGGTAGAGCACTTTCCTAGCATGTGTGAGGCCATGAATTCAATCCTCAGCACCACAAAGAGAAAAAGAAAATCACAACACATACTAAATAAATGTTATTAAATAGTTTGCTTAAAAGGCAGCTTAATTTCTCAGAACAGGCTCACTTTAATAAAACACCTCAATTTCAGTTACTATGAAAATGAATACCAAAAATGTATATGTGTGTGTGTGTGTGTGTGTGTGTGTGTAACAGCAGCTTCAGAAAGCACATATGCAAATCAGGGACTACCCCAGATGTGCTTGTCACAACTGTAATCCCAGCTACTCAAGAAGCTGAGACTGGAGGAACACAAGTTACAGGTAAGCCTGGATAACCTAGAGAGAGCCTGACTCAAAATAAAATTAAAAAGGGCTAGGGATGTAGGTCAGTGGTAAAGTACTCCTGGGTTTATTAATCCTCAATACCAGTTAATGAATGAATGAACAAACAAGTAAATGTAATGTTGGAGGAACACAAATACAGAGGCCCCTGATTTCAACCACGGCTACACTCACCTCTACAGAATAAGACATCTCTTCATTGCAATTGTCATTGATCTTCTCAAAGAGCTCTTCACACAACTAAGGAAGCAGAATAAGAGAAAACATGAGTTGCCCAAATCAGAGAAGTACTGTTTTTCACAAGTGCTAAGTGAATTAGTAAGACCCCCTTTCTCTTTCTCTCTCCACATCATAAACCTCAAGGTAGGATTAACATTTTGAATGAAATTTTTTAAAACTTTGAATACGCTCTTCTTATATATCTATATTCTCCCTCAATAATTGAACCTTGCTTTTGTTTTCTGAAGAAGAAAGTCACATTTGGGGGAGAAAGGGAATGTCAGCTTTTTACAGAAGTTGTATCACCATCATGGTAAACACATGTGAATCTGCTTCTGCATATTACTTGTGACTCTACTGTCAATATTACTATAACAATGAAACTACTAGGACAATATTTGCACTGATGTATTGCTGATGCTATACATCAATTTGTTATATTATCAGTGACTATATAGACTTATAGACACAGATGAAGAATGTATACTATTTGGAAGAGGCAAATAAGGAATTTTTAAGAATAATCCTTCCCCTATAAAACTTTCCCTTTACTACTACATCAAGACTCCTCACCCTTATATGAGATGCTACTCTACTGCAAAGTGACATTTCTTGACAGGAAACATTAAATTTTTCTTGATCTGGAAAATTTTAAACTTCATCCTATCCCCTGTATTTCTTCTGTAAAATATGTGATATTTTAATAAAAATGCTACCGAATTTTCATTTGCTATACTTTTAGCATAAGGCAATCATATACTACAATGGCAATCATACTTTAAAGCAATTTACACTTTGTGATTCTCTAGAAGTCTGAATGGAATTTGAAATTTACAACAAATGGTAATTTTGAAATAATAATTATATTTTAAAAAAACACGCTTTTTCATGACTGGGACTACTATATACGAAGAAGGACAATTCCTAAATACATGTCTTAATATAAACATATTTTAATTAAAAAATTAACCAGAGCCTCACACATGCTAGGCAAGTGCTCTACCTAGCAAATCCTAGTCCTTGAATAAATATTTGCAAAATAAAAATATCTGTTAAAGCAAGTTTTTTTGCTGTTTTATTTTTTACCTGGGGAATGATGCCAGCCTGACTTTCTTCTTGTTTACCCATCATTGTATAAGATTTCCCAGCACCAGTCTGCCCATAGGCAAAAATACAGACATTATAACCCTCAAAGGCATGTAAGAGCATTTCCTTTCCGATGTCATTGTACACACGATTTTGAGATGCAAAACAGGGATCTTCAGGCTGTAAAGATTAAAAACAAAGAAAAATAAATGGCATTCTATTCATAATCCATATTTATTTGATTGCTTCCATAATAAATAAGTGTTTAGAATCAGAATAGAAACCCAAAATATGCCACACATTTTTAACTACCCACTACATGAAGGTTTTCTCGTTATTCTCATTCTTCTCCTTCCCGCCCAACTAAGCTCTATTAAGAGACATCCAAGTCAGCCATGCACAAAAACTTCAAGGTGAAATTTATCTGGCATAATTATGTTTCATTTTCCATAACCTTATACTACTCTGTTCATAAGGAACTCCAAGAAGATTTTCTTAAGTAGAAAATGGGAATAAAAGATCAAAGGTCGGGTCCACATTAAAAAAATACTTCTTTGAACTCACTTAGCTAATGAGGCTCTTTTCAATAAACATAGCTTTCAGTGAAGAATGCTTACAATTCATTCCAGACTACTCCTTAGCAATTAGCTTTCGTTGATAGTTCTTTTCTTTTTTTTTAATATTTATCTATTTTTTAGGTGTAGATGGACACAACACAATGTCTTTATTTTTATGTGGTGCTGAGGATCGAACCCAGGTCCCACCCGTGCTAGGGGAGCGCTCTACTGCTGAGCCACAATCCCATCCCTCGTTGATAGTTTAAAACATCTCTTACTCCTCAATGTAAAACAGGACAAACAAAAACTAAAACATACAACAGAGATGGATGGTACAAAAGCAAACTCCAGTTTAGAACAATCCCTAAAAGCCAGCAAACACTAGGGTCATACAGTGAGTAAAGGTGCCATGGTGGCCCCTATTCTCCATTTTCCTAGATGTTAATGATATCTTGTTTTCCTTATGGATTTGCAGGTTCTTTCCAAACATTCAGAATACACCGATCTACTGTGATTAAAAGAAAAGAAAAGAAAAAACAAGCCAGATGTGGTGGCCCACAGCTACTCTAGAAGCTGAGGTAGGAGGAGCACAAGTTGGAGGCCAGCATCAGCAACTTAGCAAGACACTGTTGCTGGGGTTGTAGGCAAAGTAGAGTATTCACCTCACATGTATGAAGCACTGGGTTCAATCCTCGGCACCACATAAAAATAAAATTGTGTCCATTTACAACTAAAAAAATATTTAAAAAATAAAAATAAAAAAAGACTGAGGATAGGGCCGAGGATATAGCTCAGTGGTAGAGCAACCCTGGATCTATTCCCAGTAACACAAATCAAACTAACAAATGAGCAACAATTTAACTGAGGTCATTCCAATCTTCCTAGATACATCTTCAAAATTTTAACTTAAAACTAGCAATACACTGGGGCTGGGGTTGTGGCTCAGCAGTAGTACGCTCCCCTAGCACGTGTGAAACCCTGGGTTCGATCCTCAGCACCATATAAAAATAAATAAATAAAATAAAGGTATTGTGTTCAACTACAAAAACTAAAAAATACTAAAAAAAATTAAAAAAAAAAAAAACGAACTGGCAATACACTAAGCAATTTGGCACTACCTAAGATCTGTAAGTACAGTAACATTCATAATGCAAATCCTAAAATACTTCTAAATAAATCCTCAAGGAATATCTAAATCAGAGTAAATTAGGTTCCATATTTAGTGTAAACTAAATGCTTATATGTATGTGTGTGTGTATGTATATATATATATATATATATATATACACACACATATACATATATATATACATATATATGTATGGGGGTACATAAACTTTCCATCAAATAAAATACTTTGTTTTATTCTTTAGATAATATTCACTATATCAAAAAAATGTAGTCATGGCTGAGCGTAGGGCACATGCCTGTAATCACAGCAGCTCAGAAGACTGAGGCAGCTAAAATGAGACACTAAGCAACTCAGTGAGACCCTGTCTCAAAATACAAAACAGGGCTAGGGATGTCGCATTCAGTGGTTGAGTGCCCCTGAGGTCAATTCCAGTACCACCACCACCACCCCCCAAAAAAAGTCATGCTTGAGCAAACTTACAAACCAAGAATAAGACCAGCTCCAGCAGGGAAAACACTAACATGAAAGTAAAGAGGAGGAAAGAAACTCACCGAGGTGTGAGACCAATAGGAGTAGTCGAAGCTGAAGGACTTTGGTGCTTCCTTTGGGTTCTTTGGGTTAATAATACCTAGAGGATGAAAATGTTTCCATTAAGTCTTTCAGTAACAAGTTCATTAATTCAAAATCATATTATACTATATGTTCAAAAATATCGAAATCAGTATATTCATAGCAATGAATCTCAATAGGGCAATCAAAACATAAAAGTATCATGGTGTGTTTTTTTTTTAAGTTGTAGTTGGGTATAATATCTTTATTTTATTTATTTAATTTTTATATGGTGCTGAGGATCTCGAACCCAGGGCCTTGCATATGCAAGGTAAGTACTCAACCACTGAGCCACAACCCCAGCCCCCAAATGTATCACATTTTTGAAGACATAATTTACATATGGAACTTCAAAAAACTCAGGCCAACAACAGTTAAGTGGGTATTACCAGTATTCAGAACAGAGGCAAACACACAGTGAGTTCTCAGAAAATATTCTGTGATTGAATGTTTATCATCCTCCCTAGGAAAGTAGCAGTCAAAATTTAGAAATGAATCATGTTACAAGTTCAAGGTACCTCATAAAGTTTGAAATATGTCGACAAATCAGAAATAATTAGAAAAATATTGCATTAATCCAACCACAATTTGTAACCAACTCTTTTTAAAGATCTTACTATCTACTTCAGAAAAGCATTTGAAAATGAAGCATTCATAGTTGAAATCCTTGGTTGACAATAATGAATATGTAAGTTATTACATATGAAGTATGCACATATATGTGTTTATGCAGTGGAATTGCAGACTACTAAATTTTCTGTAGAATGTTAAGTTACTTTTTGACTTAAAAGCATGAAGTCACTGCCCATATTAAAAGTGATTTGTCGTTTAATCCACTTTAAACTTCAGGGGCTGACTGTGAAGCTTAATATCTTCCTTTTTCATACACACAAAGCTTCTGACTCCTCATATTTCACATGAAACAGAATCCTTGTAACATGTGGTCATGAAATCTGGAAGACTGGACATCTCAACAAATCTGCTTCTCTAAAACAGGGCCACATCCTAGACTATCAGTGAGATCAGGATTAAAAAATAAATCTGTCTCAGGCAGCTGCTGCTCAGGACACAAATAGCAACAGTTGCTATGGTGCTTAGCTCCCTCGCCCGCGCTCTCTCTCTCTCTCTCTGGATTCCACTGGGTACAGCCACACACTTACGTTCCAACCTCAAATGCTGACAGAGTATTAATAAGGCTCACACTGCACATAATCATGTGACAAGGGGACACAGTTCTAGAAAGAACATCTCTCAAAACACAAATGGTAATCTAAGCAAGGAAGTGGACTTCTTTTAAAAATATTTAATTTTTAGTTGTAGTTGGACACAATTCCTTTATTCCATTCATTTATTTTTATGTGGTGCTAAGGATCAAACCCAGGGCCCTGCGTATGTTAGGCGAGTGCTCTACCACTGAGCCACAACCCCAGCCCCAAGGAAATGTACTTCTAACCAAAAGGTACTATATACAAGATTTAAATAACTGCCAACATATAAAGAGCAGTTACTCAGAGACAGAAGTATTTTTTGTTTATCTCTTTAATTCTCCCAACTGCTCAAGAGGCAAATGATTTCGCATTCTCATTGTATAGATGAAACAGGCTCCAGAGCTCACACTTTTAGCCAAAGACCATCATTTAAATGCCTACTCTCTATGTCTGTGAGCGATGCCAAGACAAAGGACAGTAAGGCATTTTGTGTATATGCATAATTATACCATTTCAAAATTAAACCACCACCCTTATTTAAAACTCCCTATCCATTTAAAACTGGGAATTACAAGGATCATATACCATTCAAACTCTACCAACAAAATGGAAATTAGCATCCCACTGCATGATCCAGATTCTGGATTTCAGTGTCTTGGCAATAAGAACTCCATTAAAGCCAGGTAGGGTGGCACACACCTGTAATCCCCATGGCCCAAGAGGCTGAGGCAGGAGGTCCACAAGTTCAAAGCCAGCCATAGCAACTTAGCAAGACCCTCTCTCAAAATTTAAAAAAATAAAATAAAAAACAGGCTGGGGATGTGGCTCAGTGGTTAAGCACCCCTGGTTTCAATCCCCTGTGCAAAAAAAAAAGAAATCTGATGAGATGCAGGGTACTCCCTCTGAAGCATCTTTACCACTCTAAAACAAAACATTTCCAATCTCTGCAAATTTTTTTAAAGTCACATTTCATACATTCTTTTAGCTACCAACTTTTGAGAAAGAACCAATTCTCACATCCTATCCCATCATTGTCTTTTTTCTAGAAAAAAAGAAAAGTACACCACGAGTTAATTTTTTCAAGGTACATATGATCCTTCCCTCCTTCTCAGGATTCCCTTCTCCCAGATCTGTAAAAATTCTGATACGAGTTATTTTTCCTTATTTATATCTTCAAAACCAATCTACAATGGACTGTGGTTGTGGCTCAGTGGAGAGCATTTGCCTAGCAAGCGTGAGGCATTGGATTTGGTCCTTAGCACCACGTAAAAATAAATAAAGGTGGGCTGGGGATGTGGCTCAAGCGGCAGCACGCCGCCTGGCATGAGTGCGGCCCAGGTTCGATCCTCAGCACCACATACAAACAATGATGTTGTGTCTGCCAAAAACTTAAAAATATATATATATATTAAAAAAAAAATTCTGTCTCTCTCTCTCTTAAAAATAAATAAATAAAGGTATTGTGCCCATCTAAAAATATTTTTTTTAAATCTATACCTACCAACAATGAACACCTTTTAACATAAATATACAGTTTTTTTTTTAAGAATTTTAATATTTATTTTTTAGTTATCAGCAGACACAACATCTTTGTATGTGGTGCTGAGGATCGAACCCGGGCCACACGCATGCCAGGCAAGCGCGCTACCGCTTGAGCCACATCCCAGCCCCAAATATACAGTTTTTTAAAGAAAAGTTCTTTAGGGTCTAGGATTGTGGCTCAAGCAGTAGAGCACTTGCCTAGTACTTATGAGGCCCTTGATTTGATCCTCAGCACTACATAAAAATAAATAAATAAAATAAAGGTTTTTTTTTTTTTTAAAAAAAGCTCTTTATAAGTCTGAAGATGGAGCTTTGTGGTAGAGTATTTTCATGGCAAGTGCAAGGCCCTGGGTCCCATCCCCAGAAATGCAAAGAAAAAAAAGCCTCTTTATATTTGACAAACAACATTAAATTTACCCACAATATTTAAAAAGAATTCAATTTCCAAATGAGAAATGTAAGACACTTTAGAACAATATAGAAATTCAATATCGCTATTACCTCTTTCAGAAGGCACTGGTGATTTTTACATCTTAAAATCAGTACCTGTAGAGTTATTTTATTCTTTATAATTATGTATACATCATATAATTATAAAGAATAAAATAACTTGAATACATTTGTCCTAATAAAAAAATTTTAAACAATAGAACTTAGAAACGAAAAAAATTTTTACAGGGATAAAATCTCAATAACAGCATTTACACTCATTAAACCCTCTAAAAAAAGCCCTTAAAGGCCACAGTTATTTCCATGGACAATGAGTTAGTGTTTTTAAATATGCCAGACAATTTTTCTTGTTCTTCCCCACCGACCAATACTGAGGATTGAACCTAGGGGCTCTTTACCTGAGCTATATCCCCAGCCCTTTTCATTTTTTATTTTGAGACAGGGTCTTGCTAAGTTGCCCAGGCTAGCTACAAACTTGTGATCCTCCTGCCTCAGATTTTAAAGTAGCTAGAATCACAGGTGTACGCCATCATACCCAGCAGTATTTTTCTTTCTGAATTAATAATGGTTGAGATCTACCTCCCTATCTCTAGCCCAATAAAGAAATTGGAAGATTCTGACCTAAAAGGGAAGGGGAAGGCCTGGGGTGGTGGCTCAGCGGTGGAGCGCTCACCTAGCATATGCGGGGTGCTGGGTTTAGTCCTCAGCACCACATAAAAAATAAATAAATAAAATAAAGGTGTTTTGTCTGACTACAACTAAAGGAAAATATTTTTTAAAAAAGGAAGAGGAGCAGCTCAAGAGGCTGAGGCAAAAAAAGCACAGGTTTGAAGCCAGACTCAACAACTTAGCGAGGCTCTAAGCTAACTTAGACCTTGTCTCAAAATTAAAATGAAAAGGGCTGGGGATTTTTGGCTTGGTAATTAAGTGCCACTGGATTCAATCCCTAGTATGAAAAACAAAAAACAACAACAAAAGGGTGGAGGACGACAGTATTATTCTATCTTGTAATAGAACACTGGATTTGGAATAAAGGACCAACATCAGTGCCTACATATTAGTACATCATTTAATAGAAGTTTATAAAGAAATATTATACTTAGATTTTTGTGTGTGAGACTCTGGGTATTACAGTGCCCATCTTCTGCTTCCTGGCTGCCATGATGTTCTACCTCATCACAAGCCCAACAATAGACTGAAACCATGAGCCAAAATAAATCCTTCCTCCCTTTCAGTCGACTTTATCTAAACTTTTGTCACAGTCACAAAAAGCTAATGAACACAACCACACTGTAAATGATGAGAGATGTTAACTCATCAAATTAAGAAGCCAAATCCAGTGAAGGCTTATGACCAAGGCAAGGATTTTTAGTTTTACTCTAAAAATAATAAGAAGCTAATGAAGAATTTTAAGCAGAGGGGCAGCATATCTGATTTATACCTCTAAAATATGTCTGGCTACTACATGGGGACATGGGTAGAAAGCAGAGACAAGAAGCTATTGTAATACTGATTTTGGGTTAAAGTAAAAATGGTAAAAAGTGATTGAGGATATATTATGAAGGCAAAGACAACAGGACTTACCGATGGAATCTGTGAGAAAAAGGGAAAAGGCAAGAATGAGTATTTTTGATCTGTGCAACTAAAAGAATGGGTAATGAAAGAGCAGCCACTTTGGTTGGGTGAGAAAGGGGGAAACCACAGTTATGTTTAGGACATGTTGGGTTTGAGACACTTCTTAAGACTTTCAAGTAGAGTCAAGCTGGCATTGGGTGGACAACTCTAGGAAGAGTCCTACAGAAAGATACAGGCAGAAGAA